GATCTCTACCCTGCGAATGTGTCTACTGTAATTTATTTATCCATTCTCTTATCAATGGGCCCTGCGGTTATTTCAGGATTTTTTTGCTATTAGGGACAATGCAGCTGTGAATATTTTTGTCCCTGTCTCTTGGCGCACATGCCAGAGAACTTATCTTGATTTGTTGCCTGGGGGGATGTGTGGGTGACAGCCTCTGTACCTCCACTTCATGAGATAAGGCCAGATTGCTCTCCCTGGGGGGCTATTTGGAGCTGCACCCTGACTAGCCACATGCAGGAGGGTCTGCTGCTCCCCTCCTTGCCAGCTCTGGCTGAAGGACAGTTCCCTTCTGCCCTTCAGATGGTGTAAATAGCATCTCATTGTGGTCTCAATTTGCATCGCCCTCATCAGCAGTGAGGTTGAGCCTCCCTTAGATGGTATTTGAACAAATTTGTTTCCTCTGCCCTAACATGCCTGCGCTCCGTGTGTGTTATCTATTTTTTATATTGGATTGCTTGATTTTCTTCTTCCTTGATTTGCAAGAGTTCCTGATGTATTTTTGAGGCTGTCCCCCGCTGCACTCCGCAGACATCTCCAGTTGTGGCTTGCTTTTCACTTTCTCTAAGGTGTCTCCGCTTCTCTCTTCCCCCCCACACCTGTGCCAGGGAGGCCACTTAGCATTCCTAGTGTGGGGGGAGGTCGTGTGCCTCTCAGAACCCTGTTTAAACTGACCCCACTGTTTCTCTTGTCCCTGGCGCCTTAAGGGACCCCTTTCCTCTTCCTTCTCAGACCCCCTCCCATTTTTGGCGAACACAACTTAGTTTGGGGAGCTCCTATTGGGTTGGGGGAGAGCATCCTGGGGCAACTCGGGCCTCACTGCAATGGTGCCCTCCCACCTCGGTTATTTATCACTTCCGGCTGCCCACCTGGGGGGCTGGGCCTCCAATCCGCTCCACTGGGCCGCAGCCGGGCAGCTCCGGGCGCTCCCATGGGGGCGGGCGGCGCGGGGGAGGGGCCCTCGGGGGGCGGGGCCGGGGGCCGGGCCTGCGGCGGGGGCTGGGGTGGGGGGGCGGAAGCTGCCGGAGCAGATAAGGGCCGAGGTCGGCCCTGCGGTGAGACAGTGCGGGACACCGCCTCCGCCCCTGGTGTCCCCAGAGCGCCCCCGCACCCTGGAGTTCCCCCTCCTGCTACCCGGGCTGGGCATCCCGGGAGGAGACCCCAGGGAGCAATGGGGGATGAGGCTCCAGCCTGCTCACTCCGCCTCAGTGACGAGAGGCAGCGGGGCTCCACGCCTCAGTTATCTCAGCTGGAAAATGGGGGTAGGAGCTCGGTTTTCCCCACAGGGCTGTTGGGGATGCACCAAGTGCAGGCTTGTGAAGGTCTCTGTGGGTTGGGCGAGTTTTGAACAGAGGGTCCCCTGAACGTCGCATCGCATCATTCATCCCTATTGTATAGATGGCAAAGTGGGGCGTTTCACCCAAAGCCCCAGAGCCAGCATGCAAAAAGCAAGTGGGAGGGGGCTGGAACGCTTTCCACCGCCCCACCCTGGGGACAGATCTAGGTTCCGTGGAGCCTGAAGCTTAAAACCATCTGGGAGGCACTCTTTAAGGAAAAGATTACAAAGTCACAAATACAGAATTGCTGAGGCTGGGCGCAGTGGCTCACGCCTGTAATCCCAGCACTTTGGGAAGCCAAGGCGGGCGGATCACTTGACATCAGGAGTTCGAGACCAGCCTGGCCAATATGGTGAAACCCTGTCTGTACTAAAATACAAACATTAGCTGGGCGTGATGGCGGGTGCCTGTAATCCCAGCTACTCCGGAGACTGAGGCAGGAGAATCGCTTGAACCCGGGAGGCAGAGGTTGCAGTGAGCCGAGATGATTGCGCCACTGCACTCCAGTCTGAGTGACAGAGCGAAACTCTGGCTCAAAACAAGAAACAAAAAACAAAAACAAAACAAAACAAAACAGCCGTTCGCGGTGGCTCACACCTGTAATCCCAACACTTTGGGAGGCCAAAGTGGGTGGATCACCTGAGGTCAAGAGTTCGAGACCAGCCTGGCCAACGTGGTGAAACCCTGTCTGTACTAAAAATACAAAAAATACAATGAAATAAAAAAAAATTAGCTGGGCATGGTGGAGTCCTCCTGTAGTCCCAGCTACTCGGGAGGCTGAGGCAGCAAAATCACTTGAAATCGGGAGGCGGAGGTTGCAGTGAGCCAAGATGGCTTCACTGCATTCCAACCTGGGCAACAGAGTGAGACTTCATCTAAAAAAAAAAAAAAACCCACCAAAAAACAAAAATAAAATTGCCAAGGCCCCTTCCAGGGCCTCGGAAGGAGCTGAGCCAATGAGGAAGCTCAAGTGCAACTTTCTTAGCGTCCCAGCCCCACCGTGCAGGCCCCCTGGAAGGGGTTATACCCCTCTCCCAAGAAAGTCAGACACCAACAAGGTTAGAGGGCAGGGTGACCCAAGGCAACATGGCAGGGAGGTGCTGCTGCAGCTGGTCCCCAACTCTTTGAATGCCCAGGCAGCAGTCCCTCAGCCCAACCAAGAGCAAGGGCAGTTGGGTATTTGGGGACTGCAGCCTCAACCAGGCAAGGTCAAGCCCTCCAGTCCCATCCAGTCATGGTTCAACTTGCCACCCAGGGCCCAACCCTGTGGGATAGGAAGGTACAGAACTCCTAGGAGAAAAGGAAGGAGGAGATCTCGGGTATACGTAAGTGCATGGGACTTGGAGTTAGACAAGATTAGGGTTCAATCCCCTGCAAGGCCGTGTTGGGTTTCCTCGTCTGTGAAATGGGAGTAATAATCATACCTACCGGACCAAGCCGGTGCGTGAAGGTGGGCTGGGCTCATGGCTGTTAGAAACACATTTCCCCTGGGCGCGGTGGCTCACGCCTGTAATCCCAGCTCTCAGGGAGGCAGAGGCGGGAGGATAGCTTGAGCCCAGGAGTTCGAGACCTGCCTGGGTAATATAGCGAGACCCCGTTCTCCACAAAAAGGAAAAAAAAAAAAAAAAAAAAGAAACACATTTCCCTCCTGTGAGATCTCCAGGCCAGGAGAGGCATTTTCTCCCATTTTCATGTTGTCACCCAGCGGGTGGTCTCTCCATTGCAGAGCTGAGATTTAAATGTGGGAATGTCTGGTGCAGATGCACTCAGTTCTCACTACCAGGAATGATGCCTCTTTGGGCCTGTCTCCCAGGGAGTTAAATCTCACTGTTACGTGTTCGTGCCCAGGACTGAGAGCCAAGGGGAGCCTGGCTCGTTCCCTTTCTGGATTTTACCATTTCTCTGCTCCTATGGGAACCAGAGGCTGGAATTTTTTCAACTCTTATATCCTCCAGCCTGGACCAGGAGAAGCAGGACAACTGAAAATAGGGACAGGGGTAGGAGAGCTGGGAAGAGGTGGTGGCGATGGGCCTGGAGGCAGCAGTGAGAATCTAAAAGGCTTGAAGTCTTTTTCCAAAGAGATGCTGCTTTGCCTCAGGGTTTGCATGGGCTTTCCACTGGATGGGCACACGGGAAAACTGAGTTCTCATCGCAGCGCTGCCCCTTTTTTTTTTTACTTTTTTTTTTTTTTGAGATGGAGTCTTGCTCTGTCACCCTGTCACCCAGGCTGGAATGCAATAGCATGATATCAGCTAACTACAACCTCTGCCTCCTGGGTTCAAGCTATTCTTGTGCCTCAGCCTCCTGCCTCAACCTCTTGAGTAGCTGGGATTACAGGCACTTGCCACCATGCCTGGCTAATTTTTTTTTATTTTTAGTAGAGATGGGGTATCACCATGTTGGCCAGGGTGGTCTCGAACTCCTGACCTCAGGTGATCCACTTGCCTTGGCCTCCCAAAGTGCTGGGATTACAGGTGTGAGCCATTGCGCCCGGCCAGCCATGCCCCTTTCTAGCCAGCTGAGCTTGCACCTGTCAGTCCTCCCCGATCCTCCATTTCCTTATCTGTGAAATGGGGATGAGAACACCTGCAGCGTCAAGGATTACAAGATGCTGTGTATGTAGAGTGCCTGGTGAATACCTCTAGTTATTAAGGCAGTCTTGGGGCGGGGACGGGGATGTCATGTAAGGGGCATGAAGTGTGAGCAGAAGTGGGGAGTCCTCCCAGGGTAGGAGTGGAGGCCTCTAAGGTTTCTGTCCCAGAGAGGGAGCCCCTTGAGGGTGGGGCTGGGAGCCTCAGCTTCAGCACTTCCCCGGGTCAGGAAGGGCCAGAGGGAGGCCAGGGAGGGGCCCTGGGGGTTCTCAGAGAACAGTAGGGAGCTGGAGTGTTCACCCCAACTCAGGCAGGCGAGAGGGAGGCGACAAGAGGGTGGCCACAGTATGTTGCCGGCCAAACAATTACCCCAAGGCCCCACTCCACAGCCTCATTTGTTCCTCATTGCAAACTTCTGAGCTAGGCATTTCTCCATTTGTTTATTTACTTATTTTGGTTTTGTTTTTGTTTTTTTTGAGACGGAGTCTCACTCTGTCACCCAGGTTGGAGTGCAATGCCATGGACTTGGCTCACAGCAACCTCCGCCTCCCGGGTTCAAGCTATTCTCCTGCCTCAGCCTCTCAAGTAGCTGAGACTACAGGCGCGTGCCACCACACCCTGGCTAATTTTTGTATTTTTAGTAGAGACGAGGTTTCACCATGTTGGCCAGGCTGGTCTCGAATTCCTGACCTCGTGATCCGCCTGCCTTGGCCTCCCAAAGTGCTGGGATTATAGGCGTGAGCCACCAAGCCCAGCCTTTTTTTTTTCTGAGAGGGAATCTCACTCTGACTCCCAGGCTGGGGTGCAGTGGCACAATCTCGGCTCACTGCAACGTCCGCCTCCCAGATTCAAACAATTCTCCTGCCTCACCCTCCCGAATAGCTGAGTAGCTGGGATTACAGGCATGCGGCACTGCACCTGGCTAATTTTTGTATTTTTAGCAGAGACAGGGGTTTCACCATGTTGAGCAGGCTGGTCTCGAACTCCTCGCCTCAGGGGATCCACCTGCCTCGGCCTCCCAAAGTGCTGGGATTACAGGTGTGAGCCACTGTGCCCAGCCTGAAATTCCTTATTTTATCTTTAAAAAATCATGTAAGTTTGCATCCTTCTCTTTAATGTGTGGGGATTTCCCTCCCCTTTCTTAAAAACATCTTCCCCTCTCAGTATTCTACCTGAGTGGATGTTCCAAGAAGATACACCCAGGTTATGTCCCAAGGCTGTGGACATCTCATGCCCCATGGTGACCTCTAGGCCCTTCAAGCCCCAGGCCCCGGGCCACCTGGTCTGGCTGGGGAGAAGTTCAGGGATGGTTGAGGTTGATGGTTGAGGGCCTGCCAGCTGTCACGGCCTGGGGCTGGCCCCATCTCTGCTCTGAACTCTGCTGCCTCTCCCTCTCGTCTTGGCTCCCAGACGTTTGTCCATGCAGCTCCAACTGTCCCACTAGGAGTTCTCAGGACACCTCACCCCACCCTTTGTCCACTGAGGGTCCTTGTTTCAGAGGGGGCACTGCCTGTCTTCTGTCTTCATCCTTCTCTGCTGGGCAGCCTGACTACATGACCCAGGGCTTTCTGTGCCAATTAAGAGGAAACTGAGGCCAAGTGGAGAGGTGCCAGCCTGGGGAGTGCAGTGAGGAGGGCTGTTGGGTGTCCAGGGGCGGGTGTCTCTGGGTAGATGGGGGTACCTAGGCCTGAAGAGAGATCTGGGCACTGGCCAGGGAGGCAGGAGGAAGGAGGGAAGGCCGCGGGGCACCCGGGGGCTGCTGCCTGGCAGGTCCCCGTGCCCAGGCAAGGGAAGTTTCTTATTTCTCCTGCTCCGACTTCCCCCTTTGATTTATTATAGCCATGAAATGCTCTGCTCTCTTCTCTTTTCCTTGCTGTCCCCGGGGCTGGAGGAGCACGGGCCTCCCCGGGAGCGGGCCTCGGCCTCCCTGGACTCCCGTCTCCTTCCGAGGGCTGGGCCTGGGGAACCAGAAGCAAGAGGTGAGTGAGGGCCGGCAGGGTGGGAGGAGGAGGGCCCACGCCTCCCCAAGGCAAGGTGGGGCAGGACCCCCAGGGACCAGCACGGTCCTTGTTGAGAGGGGCTGGGGCCCGGCGGAGGGTGTGGCAGGTGTGGACCTGGCAGCAGGCGGCTCCCAGGGGTCTGGGGGGATGGTGGGCTCTGGGCCAACGGCCTCAGTGAGGACTGCCAGGGTGTGAAGGTTGGGCACAGAGTTTCTGGACACCAAACACTAGGTCAGAAAAACGGTTCTCTGTGACCCCTGACCCCACATTCTGATTTAAGGGTGGCCAAAGTAGGCCTGGCCCTGGCTGGCCTGGGGATTGGGCTGAGAGCCCAGAAGAAGGCTGAGGCCCGAGGCCCGGGGGACTCCGGGCTCCTCCAGGCCGCGGCTGGACATCCCCCTGAGGCCTGGCCCAGGCTGGTGAGGGCCGGAGGCTGTGTCCGGCTCCTCGGCAGGCCTGGTGGCCGGAGCGTTTCTCCTGGCCGCTGTGCGGTGCCTGTGGTAATGGGCTGTTGGCGTTTTGCAATGGGCCGGGGGTGGGGAGGCGGCGCACACATGCTTCCTGTGGTGACTGGGCGCTTCCTGTTTTCTCAGGCGCCGGCCTTGCTGCTGCCGATGTGGAAACAGGGGCAGCTGCAGCCCGGGCGGCTCCAGGCTGGGCGCCCCGACCCTGCCCAGAGGGGCCTACGTGGGCCCAGCACCCCTAGGCCCCAGACCCGGGCAGTGGTGGCCTGAGTTTCCCCCACAGCAGGCCACCATCCCTCCCTTCCCTAACAGCTTCCGCCAAGAGGAAGGGGCCAAGCAAGTGGTCCCGGAGGTCAGAAGTCCAGGGGTGAGAGCGCTAGGTAGGGAGTCAGGGCACGTGGCTCTGCTCTGAGCTCTGCACTTGCCAGGTGCCACCGCCATCTCTCCCTCTCTAGGCCCACCTTCCTCTTTCCTGCAGTACCTCAGCATCCATGGTCTAAAACCCCTCGCCCATTCCCACCCCGGTTCTGACATTCGTTGGGCTTTGCATCCCAAGAGCCAAAGCTTTGGGGACAGCACGAGGCTGGGGCCTTGGAGGTAGAACTTGGTGTAGATCTTGGCAGAGAGGGGAACAGGCGAGGCCAGTGGGGGTTCCACACTGGAGCAAGGCTTGGAGTTGGGGGGAGCAGGCCCACGTTTGGCAGACAGGGTGCTGATGGAATCAGGGGCGGCAGAGGCCACACTGATCTGGGAGGAATAGGCTTTTAGGAGGCTTTATTCCTGCAAACCTTGGGAAAGGGCCTGACACCACCTAGCACGCTTCCTCACAAAGACGACGCGGTGATTTGCAGGGTGGGGCAGGGCCAGCCCTTCCCAGCTGCCGAGGAGGTGGGTGCTGGTGTGGGGTGACGTGGGCGCCTCAGCAAAGACCCATGCTTCTCCCACCTGCCAGCCCGCCTGGGGTCGGGCCTTCGGTGCCCGAACTGCCCTTTCTCCGAATCTGTCGTGTTTTGTTTTTAAGCTGATATTGCAAGAAGGGGAGGGGAGATGACTTTGCTTCTGGTCGAGTTTGCTGACAGCATCTGACCTCGGGAGGAAGAGGCTCTTTTCGAGAAGGCCGAGCCCTGTGCCCCCTGGGAGTGGCCAATTCACTGGCTGGGCTCAACCATCCCTTTGGTCCAGGAGGTTCAAGACGCCGGCTCCACAAGAAGCTCCCCTAAAACCCAAGTCCCGCCCATCACATCACAGTCCCAGCCAAAGAGGCCTTGGAGAACTCAAGACCCCTTGGTTCAGCCTGCGGGGCCGTCAGGGCAGCCTGGCCCTCACTGTCCTGTTGCCTGCCTTGGTGTTTTGGGCCAGCCTGAGTGCTGAGTTGGCGGCTCAGCAGCTGCTCTGGCCACGGAGGCCCAGTTATAAATAAGCCAGGGTGGCCGAGTCATCATGTTCCGAAGCTCCCCCAGCCCAGCTGCATTACCTCAGTGACCACAGGTTGGGACTGCCCAGAACTGGGCCCCCAGAACCCACCCACCCAGGCAAAGGCTGACCGGGCTGTGGGCCTCCTGGGGTCCCCAAATCCAGGGCTTGAGCATCTGTAGCTCCTGAGACCTGGGCTTCCCTGGACACAGGCCGCAGAAGGGACAGGCCCATCCCGCCCCACGGAGCCGGCAGCTATTTACAAACCGAAACCGGGAGAAGCGAAGTGGCTGCGGCCAAAGTGGCTCCAGGTCCCCAGCCCCCACCCCCACTCCATCCCCAGCAGCCCATCCCCCTCTCCCCTTGGCTTCCTCTTTCCTTCCCCGCACAGCTCCCCCACCTCCCACTGCCTGGCCAGCCCACTCTGGATGACCTGCAAGCACCCTATGGTGTCCCCAACCCCACCTCTGCCGAGCCCCTCTCCTCTCCACCCCAGGACCCCATCAGTCTGAGCTCTTGGGAGCAAGCCCCCTCCCACGAGGCCCAGCCCACCCTGCACTACACAAAGCCCATTCCCACAGTTCTCAGTTCCCCTTCATGCTTGGAAACACTCCAACCCTGATGGTCGCCTCCATGCCGCCGGTCCCTGCCTGAGGGCAGCTTCTCAGGATGCCCTTGACCTTCAAGCAGACACGAGAGGGCCCAGAAATCTGGGGTGCTGTGGTGGAGCTGCAGCAGCTGAGGCCTTCAGGGGGCACGTTTCTGGACAGGAAACCCTGGCCATCATTCTCAGTCATCCAAGTTGGGTTTTGGCCCCCTTGTCAGGCTGGCGCAGGTCATAGGCCTTCACCAGGCACAGAGGAGCTGGGACAGATGGGCGCTGGGCCTGAGCCTAACACTGCTTAGGAGCTGGCTGGTGGGATGGTACTGCCACAGCCCCCAGGGAGGGACCAGACTACACAATAGCCACTGCAGCTAACGGGCAGTCTCCCTCACATCGGTACAGAGGTTTACAGTTATACCCGTTAGTTTATTCTGCCCTCAGAACAAGCCTATTCCATTTTCTCCATCATGAAGTGGAAATTAAGGGCAAGACACAGTAGCTCATTCTTGTATTCCCAGCATTTTGAGAGGTCAAGGCAGGAGGATCACTTGAGCCCAGGAGTTGGAGGTCAGCCTGGGCCACAGAGTGAGACCCCGACTCTACAGAAAAAAAAAAGATTAGTCCGGCATGGTGATGCATGCCTATAGTCCCGGCTACTGGGGAGACTGAGGTGGGAGGATTGCTTGAGCCTGGGAGTTCGAGGCTGCGGTGAACTATGATCACACCACTGCATTCCAGCCTGGGCAACACAGGGAGACCCTGTCCAAGTTCAGGCAGCTACAAAGTGTCTGGAGATTCTAGATTTCACTGGGAAAATCTAGAACCCAGTGTCCTTCTCTATTCCTCTGACTGCCCCTTGCTTCATCTTGTACCTTCATCTCCCTCCTGGGAGGGCGGACGTTTTCTAGCGCTGTGACCAGGGCAGTAGCAGGGCTGGCCTGAAGCTCAAGGGGGAAGCAGGGCATGGACCATAGCACCACCTGTTACCTTCCCTGCCTGGCCATCAGCGCCCGGTGGCCCCTGCCATCTCCCCCTGCCCTGCCCCAGGGGAGGGATCTTCCTGCCATGTTCCTTCCCTCCTGACCAGTCCCAGCTGAGGAGGCGCCCAGCCTGAGCCCCACTCTGCCGCACCAGCTGGCTGACTGAGTGCCACCTCTCTGGGCCCCACATTCCTCTTCTGCGAAACTGTCATTCCACAAATACAGAGCGCCTACTTGGTGCTGGCCCTGTGCTGGGCACAACCTGTTTCTACAGCTGGGACACAGCCCCTGCCCTTGTGGAACCATAGTCCTATAGGGAAGGCAGATAACATAAAATCCTGTGAGCTCCAAGCGGGAAACCGAGGCAGTGGGACTCAGAGGAGCTATGAGTGTTGCCTGCGGTGGGAGAGGTGTTACTTGGGATGAGCCTTGAAGGACAGGAATGAGTTTGCCAGCAAAAGCAGGGTGGATGGGCTCCATGCTGAGTCACAGCCCTGTGCCTTGGCTCTAGCAGTTCCTCTGGCCTGGTGAACTCCTACTCATCCATCAGGGCCCATGGACACACCATAGCACAATCAGGCCTGGCCTGGCCTGGCGGCTCCTCATCATCTCCTTCCCGCCCAAGGCCTGAGCAGACCTTGACGCCAGGCCTCCTTTGTCACAATAGCCTCACCAGCCCCACCCAGGCTGGTGTCTGCTCCCTAGCTCCAGCCCCCGCCGTCCCCTGCTCCGAAAAGCACCGTTTCCCTTTTCTGGGTGACCACATGCCATGCACAGGGAATTTCCATCATAGCCTGCGGAGCCTCTGATTCACTCGGGCCCCTCACGCAGTTAACTCCTTCCAGGCCCAGGCCTCCTGCTCCTTCACCCTGCGCTGCCCCCGACCCCTAGCCCGGGACCCCTGGGCAGCCCTGCACTGGCCTGGGGCCCCAGAGCCTCAAAGCTGAATTCAGCTCCTCACTTACTGGCCCCTCCGGGCCCACTCTCCCTTGTTTGTTCCAAGGGCTCAAGGCACACACTCAGGCAGCCTTGGGCTGAGAGCACAGGCTTGGGAGGAATTCGAGCCTGGGTGGAAATCCTGATTCTGGCCCTTCTTCCTGGAGGAGGTGTAAGCGTCCACTCTGAGCCCCATTTCTCATCTGTAAAATGGATCACCCGATTGTAAAGATCTTGTGTGCTGGGCCCATGGTGGGAACTGTCATGATTAGTTTGTCTTTTCAGAGGGCCCCGCTCATCCTATCACAGGGTCCCTACTCCAGAGCTAGGCCCTTTCTCCCAGGCTGGCTTTTTTGCCCAAGAGCTGGTTTCTCAGACAGGGAGGGTGAGAGCAAAGTGCAGCCCGGGGGCCCCAGGCAGGTGGGGAATCGTCCAGGGGCAGAGGCTAAGATGCCACTGCCTCAGGGCCTCCTCTGCCAGCTTCCAGAGCTTCTCCCTACATTTCTGTTTCTCCGAGGCGGCGGTGGAGAGGCCCACGGTGGGAGCTTGGAGGGCTGAGGACAGGGCTGAACTTGCTCCCCG